ACTGAAAATGGCCTCATTGGCCAAGAACAAAACATTTAGTCAAATTTCTCGATCTACATTATTACACAGCGCCCTATTAGTTAATCGGAACAGCAAGCGAGTATGAACAAAGCCGACGGTTTCTTCTGTCGCTCGCATCGAGTTTCCGCAATCTTTTTCTGGATTTGCTTTCGGAAATTGGTTGCTCTAGCGCCGCATAGGTGCAAAAAGGTCCATTTGGAATTGATAAACAATTTTTTAGAAGCTGAGACGAAAAGCGATTTCTTTTCAAAACTTGGACCGCAACGCGAGGTGATATCCAGTCATGCGCTACGCTATGGAAAGAATTCCTCGGCCGACGTGAGTCAATTTCAGTTCACGCTGTACGAACTAGTGAACAATCAGGCGTCAAAATCTAATTGTTAGTGATTTTACACGAAGAGTAGAAGTTAGAAGACGGCACCTGAAGCTGGTATGCCGACAAAAGGCGGTAATTACTCGATCAGTATTTGAAGAGTTGAGGACTACATAGATTCATAAAAAAGACTTTGTTTCATGGGATTAATTGTATACGTGATGATTTTTGCAAAGCATTCTTTAGATATTAACTGTGCTTGAAAGTCAAATTTCCGCGAATTTAAGAAGAAATTTCAATTTTCGAGATCCGAGGCACAAGTGCGGCAGCCGCGAACACGAACGATGCACTGGGGAACGCCGTCGTGCACTGCTGGATGGAATGTTCAATCTCTTTGATGGAAAAAACACGGAACAGGAAGCGAAAAATTACAGTTCAGGGGCTGCAAAAATCAGAATTTCACGTTAATGGAATGAAAAGCTTGAGTGATTTAGGTAAAGATTAGTAGATTTTAGTGATTTTCATTTGAATTAATTGAGTTCACTACGAGCGGATAAATGTTGGCTTACAGTCTAATGTGGCCACAATTCTCGCAACAAATGCATTGAAATCAACGCATATCGGGAGCAATTTGGCAGTGCATCAGGACGGAGTAGTGTCGTTGGTCTGAGAGCTGTGTGAGAGCGACTCGAGCGGCTTTTTCTAGTGCACTAGATGGGGCATTTCTCGGAGGCGCTCATCAGGTTTACTTTAACCTCTTTCGGTGCCGCAACCGTCGGATGTCGACTTCAAGGTTTTCTGGAGACAAAACAGTACTACGTTGAGAGAAATCAGTAATATAGACAGGCGAAACGAAGGACGTCGCATGACGTGGTGATGAACGCGTTATCCCCCGGAAAGGGTAATAGCGTGTTCGGTCCCCACCGTTGAAACCAGCGGTCCAGAGCTTTGCAAATATCTCAGCAACATTATGGTTATAAATCAGTAATAATTCTTTCAAATAAAAACAAATCAATTCTCCGCATAGTGTTTCTTTAAGTTAAATAACAACAGAAATCTTATACAGCGTACATTTTATTGACTAATGGCAAGATGTTGTGAGATGGAACGTTTCATAAAGGAAAGTATAGGACGAGAACAATACAAGCTAAAACCGGATCTAACTCTGTTGCCATTCTGTGCCGCTCTCCTAAGTTCACAAAAATGACGATAGAAAGAAGATAGAAGATGAAGATGAAGAAGATGAAGAGGAAGAAGATGAAAGAGATGAAGAAGAGAAGAGATGATGATGATGAGATGATAGAAGATGCCTTTGCATAGAAAAACCGAGTCTGTGCAGAAGAAAAAAACAAAAAACCAATGTATTCATAAGGACATTAATGTTCATTAGGGAAAGATGCTTGGAATCCGGCAGGTCACAAGCAGATTGCAAGTAGGAAAAACAGCGGATGCTTTTGTATAGAGAGACATACAAGTGACTGTTCTCACTGACAATCGTCTACTGTCGGTTTCCTAGGCAAAACTTTGGATTTCCTTAACTTCTCTTTTAAGAAACTCTTCATTCTTCTGAATTGAGATTCCTAACAAACGATAACAGAGTTAAAATCGTCTTTTTAACTTTTCTCAGCAAACTTACTTATGATTCGAAACCGATTCGTTCCAAAAGTAACTGAATTGGGCCTATTGGCATATGGAATCACGCGTGAGAAAAAATGTGCCATGGAGGATTTTTGGAGCGCCTGGATGAGAAATCTAGATATTTTCGGTTACTTTGTCATAAAGTGGAAGAAAGCATGACGGAAATTTCGTCGAAAGGTAACCGCTCACTAGGAAAGCATAAATCGTCCAAGCGATCCACGAAGACAGAATTGCTATTCCAGAAAACAGTAAGAGTGACCGGTTTGTTGAGCATGATTCCTAGGTTGACGACAGATCGGGATACTTTCGTAGCAACAAGCAGGATCTGGATGCGCGACAAGACGAAGAAATGTTTGCACTATAAAGTCGTGCTGGCTTTATTGCCATCATCGGCATATGGGCCTATTCAGAACCAGGACTTAACGTAAAAAAAAATCCGAACGCTCTATGTACCAACTCACTTCTCGTTTGTTCGCTTAGCATGGAATTAGAAGTCTTTCAATCGAAGCCTGTTGGATCTTCCGTAGTTAAGGACTGAGTGATTATTAAACAATCAAATAAACGTGAACTCATAGAATCATCCTCTATAGATCTTAGAATAATTTCAAAATCACTACTATGGAGAATTACTGCTAGAAAGTCAATAAAACACGCTGAAATGATTGTTCCCGACGTTGTTCAGTTAAGAAAGACAAATACCGCTGTACGAGAAGGCCTACTCACAAGTTGCACTACCAACACTTCAAAATGTGAAGGAGTTAGGATACGAACTTCTTCATCTTCCAAGAGCCTGGTCAGACCTTCTACGAACCGATGAAAACTTTTCTAAGTTCTTCGGCAACTGCTTGGTGCATGATCATGCCGTCACTAAAGGTGTTTTCAGAGCATTCCTAATCTTCAGTAAGGTAGGATTTCACGGTGATAGAATGTGGATGTTGATGATTAGCTCTTCGTTGGTTACATTGTGCCGTATGCATGGATAAAGTCGAAGACAAAAAATCAATATTAACTTGTGGACAACCACTGGTGTACATGAGGTAGAAGAAAACAGCTATGGCAATAGACAACGGTGCAACCGTTCAAAAATGTTTTTGATTAAAGCGTCATAAGATCTATGATGTCAGAGTTGAGAACCATCACTGGTGGAAATTGTTGTCAATCATTACCGACCATTCTCGACGCTCCGTCGAATCATCATCATTACTTCATATTGATATCAAACTGAAATCAAAGAGAAGGTCATGAGCAGTTAATGAAAAGAAACGCCTTTGCAGGGTTGAGAGCAATGGGTTCGCATTTAAGTTCAGTTCTAGGAATGACCTCGATCACTCTTCACGAAAGAGAAACTACTCTCATTCAAATGAGAGAAATTCCCTGAAAATATTAGCATATATCGATTCTGGGTAAACAAAGCCGTCTTAAACAGTGGAACGTGGACTGAGGATTATTACCCGACCTTGCGAAGAATCTAGCAGTTGTCTTGTTGACATTTAGAAGAATCAGAATAGATATGATGAGCTGTTGCATTGTTAGAACTATTCTAATTGTTAATACCTTAATTCTCAAGACCGACTTTCTGTTTATCCGCCACTAACCGAATAAACACGACACTGTTATTTTACCCACTTTTTCAAAAGACGTGCCGGCGGATTTCACATTCCTCAGAGCCTGTGAAGGCCAAAGTTGACAGCAATCTACACAGTCAGATACACCCATAAACAAAAGAGAAAAGCACGCAACCAAGATTTCAATCGCATTGAGAACAAAACAACTTCTCTCCACGATTACCACTTTCTACAATTCGTCCACTGAATATTTCACGTTGAGACCAACGTCAGCTTTTGTGACTATGCTGTTAGTATTTTAGTTCTCGATTCAATGAAGTGTGCAAAAATGCATGACCCTCGTGTTTTGATATAGAAGACGTTCAAAGAGAAATTCGATCTTGGAAAGAGTTCATCAAACGGGAAAAACATGGAGGGAATGTGGTCTAAAATTGCACTTCTTGCGAAATCGTTGCCTTTGTTCTGCTTTCCTCGAGAAAGTGATCTAATTTGAGCAGCATAAAAAGCATGACTGATAGGAAAAGAAATGGCAAGTATAATAGCAATAGTGGACCATGACATTTACGAATTAGCTAACAATCTCAATTTGTAGGCGGCGACGAACAGTCGTTGATGTAGTGCCAAATAAAGCTTGAAAGCGGCAGCCGGGCATCGGCGGGCGATCGCGAACTGGATGTACCACAATGGAAAGACGATAGCGATAGATTGTTGGGTGGCACAGAAAAAGGAAGGATCGTTCCGCAAGAAGAAACAGTGATTTGTAGGGGAACGGCGACGTACTTCTGCTAGGAAAGCACGATCAACACCTAGAATCGTACGTGAAGTATTATCTTGGAAAAACAGCGGGAGACAGCGAGTTTTTCTCAATGAAAATTACTGAATTTCCACGGCCAAAGTGTAGTTTTGCGAACGATCCGGTTAACACTTGTTTTCAGTCGGCGAGACTGCGCTGCGCATCACTTGGGCATAACTAAAAGCCATCTAACTCGGGTAGAGATTCTGGTCTTTTCCTGGCTTTGGATTGGCCTGAATACATGGCTTCGCGGTCGAAACTACTAGGAAACCTGCCTGAAGGAAACCACCACCAGTATGGGGGCACACGGCCTAACTTACACTAACTTGTGAGTTTTGTGTTGACTCTTCGTTCATCTTAGTTCATCAAATTTTTGTGAGACATCCAACAGTTTTAAATCCATATGTCTTCCAGCCAACCTCATCAGCGTGAAATGAAATCACGCACTGTTGTAAAGCTGTTCACCTACAGTACCCTGGGCAGAATTTTTTCCAACGGTGTGGTTTTTCTTCCGTTGTAACGGCCATTTTTTGGGAGTGTTTAATTTCGGCCCTACTTTTAATTTTAACAGGCTAATGAGATGGGCTAAGTTTCGAAAATAACTCGAGACAGCTGATAATAGGCCTTTCTGAATGGTTTTTTCAGCTTTTTTTGAACAGCTTTTATGCAATTATAGCTGCTTTTTTTCTTTTCCTTTTTTAGCCCAACGATTGATACAGGTGAGATGCAAATTATCACAACGTGAAATGATCACAATAAAAAATGAAGCAGCGAAGTCACGACGAAGCCACGGCAGTGCATCAGCGCCATGATCTGTTGTCGGTTCCAGTGCAGGAATGCTTCGTAGCGCGGGTTCCGGTTGCAGATCTCTTCCTTCATCGGGCAGAAGCATTCCTTTACCAGATCCGATACAAATGAATCGATCTTGAACTTCGTCAACAATGAGTCACTATGCTAACTACGCTATGTTTGTTAAGAATGGCTGGTTTTCCGTCTTCTTGGTGGCAGTAATTTTTCAAGAGGTTTCTGTAAACACAACCTTTCCTAGACGAACTGTACGATTACAATCATGCATTTTCACTCTCTGGTCCACTTAGCGGTCATTTTCCGCATTCTAGAGGTTCTTGAGCGTTTGAAGTCTTGTAGCTGTATACCTGTAAGAGGCTGAAAAGCTTGTCTGATTCGAAGACTCTCGAACATTATGTGAAAGACTGTTTTGCATAAGTTCCGGTTCAGTGGCTGGTGAATGCTGCTCGATTTAGCTACGAGGACTGATAATGGGCCAAGGCGGCATTACGCCACAACCAGTTTCGCAACGCAAGCATCGCAAGCAAAAACAACAGCGAACATGCTGCAAAGCGCCCGAACAATGCACTTCCTTTAGGGCGCTAATAACGAGGGTAACAAAGCCGCTAAAACATACACTTGACTCATTAGAGGACTCATCCAATCGAGTTGACGATTTTATAGGTGCAAGGAACCCAGTCTGCTGAAGACATGAGGTACTTTTGGCGAGTGTGACTTCCGTANAGAGGGAAGTGATATTCCCGACAAACTTAGACGGCCTTGGACACGGTTTGGATGTGGTCCATGCAGCAAAATCCTTTTCGAAATCCTGCTTGCTTAACTGGTTGTGCCTCATCCAATCTCCTTGATATCTGAGAGAGGATATTCTTCGTGAAGAAGTTGTAGATTACATTTAGAAAGCACATGGGACGATAGTTACGAAGACCCCTTCGGTCTCCTTTCTTGGGCAGGATGACCGAGCGCGAAGTCCTCCACTGGTTTGAGATTTTTTCCTTTTGAAGGTAGTCTGTCATATGATCTGTGAGAAGTACATGTAAATTATGGCCTCCAGTCCTAAGGAAATCGCCAGTAATATTATCGGGTCTTGGAGCGGTGCCTGTTTTCATGCCTTTTATCGGAACTCGAACCTCCGACGGAAGAATTCCAGGAGGCCACGGCGGTGCATCAGCGCCACGATCTGTTGTCGGTTCCAGTGCAGGAATGCTTCGTAGCGCGGGTTCCGGTTGCAGATCTCTTCCTTCATCGGGCAGAAGCATTCCTTTACCAGATCCGATACAAATGAATCGATCTTGAACTTCGTCAACAATGAGTCACTATGCTAACTACGCTATGTTTGTTAAGAATGGCTGGTTTTCCGTCTTCTTGGTGGCAGTAATTTTTCAAGAGGTTTCTGTAAACACAACCTTTCCTAGACGAACTGTACGATTACAATCATGCATTTTCACTCTCTGGTCCACTTAGCGGTCATTTTCCGCATTCTAGAGGTTCTTGAGCGTTTGAAGTCTTGTAGCTGTATACCTGTAAGAGGCTGAAAAGCTTGTCTGATTCGAAGACTCTCGAACATTATGTGAAAGACTGTTTTGCATAAGTTCCGGTTCAGTGGCTGGTGAATGCTGCTCGATTTAGCTACGAGGACTGATAATGGGCCAAGGCGGCATTACGCCACAACCAGTTTCGCAACGCAAGCATCGCAAGCAAAAACAACAGCGAACATGCTGCAAAGCGCCCGAACAATGCACTTCCTTTAGGGCGCTAATAACGAGGGTAACAAAGCCGCTAAAACATACACTTGACTCATTAGAGGACTCATCCAATCGAGTTGACGATTTTATAGGTGCAAGGAACCCAGTCTGCTGAAGACATGAGGTACTTTTGGCGAGTGTGACTTCCGTAGTGAGTTAAAAACAAAACGCTCTGCAGCATCTCATAAAACAACAGTTGTGCTCTTTCATTTTGCTCATCAGAATACCTACTATCATTATGGATACTTGGATGGTCCGTCTTCACGAGTGTGCCGACCCCAGCTTATTTGCCATTCATTTCTCTCTCTCGCAATTCGTCGTCCATGGTGGTGGTTTTATTCGACCATGGTGACATGTGCGAGGCTCATACCGTAATCTGTTGAACAACCACAGCTGCGAGTACGGCTGACTAACTTTGGTTACGAGCTCGTCCGCACAACGTGTAGGTGGTCGTCCTTGGAGGCGTCTGCATTCTCGTGGAGTCCACTCTATAGTTCTTTTTGTCCTTTTGTCGCCCGTTCTTTTCATTACGTGCCCGGTCTATCGGTTTCGCTATCGATTTATATTCTTCTGGATCCCGGAGATGTGGCAGAGTCGAAGATCGGAGCTTCGCTTTCTGGCTAAATCTTGAGAGTGCCGGTCATATTCTAGAAGACATCGTTCAAGAGCTCTGTGAGTAGTGCGGAGTATTCTTGACGTGGTTGAACTATAAGCCCACACCTTTGCATCTCAACAGAGCGCTAGGAGGGCCGTTGAATCGAAAAAGTGAGCGCGAATTTTCGGTTCCTTCAGTCAGTCGGTGACTTCTTTGAAAGGCCCGAATGCGGGCCAAGCTGCTCTCCTTCTTATGACTAATTCCTTCACCATGTTTTTTTCCATGCTCTTTAATTGGCCATGCAATCAGAGGGTCATCCAGTCCAATTTGTTCGCTTTCTCACAATGGGTTTTCCATGAACTGGGTCTGCTTCTGATTTATGCGTAGTTCGATCTTTTTCCCCGCTTCATTGAACTCATTGGTCATCTTTCGGTCTTCATTGGTCATCATTGGTCATCGTCATCATCATCATCTTTGCTTCACTGGTACTTTCTGAGAAAATAACGATGTCGTCGACTAGACAAAGATTTAGTAGGAATTTTCCACCTATACATATGCCTTTCTCATCCCAATCGAGTGACTTTATTATCCACTGCAGTGCAGCACTCAACAGGTTTGGCGATATTGTGTCTCCCTGTCGTACCCCTCTTTGTATGGGTATAGTAAAGGATCGATGGAAAAGCTGTATTTTCATAGTGCATTTCCGATAAAAGTCAGACAGAGCTACTATGTAGGAAGGGCCCACTCCTTGGTCGACGAGTGTTGATAGGATTGCATTCGTTTCGACACTATCAAACGCCTTTTCATAGTCGACAAAAGTTAGCACTAGGAGCATATGGTATTCTCAAAAAACTTCAATGATCCTAGATGCAGTTTGAATGTGGTACCTGCAGCAAAATCTGTAGGAATCCTGCTTGCTCCATTGGTTGCGTCTCATTCAATGTCCTTGATTTGTAAGGGAGGATAATCTTCGTGAAGGGCTTCTAGAGTACACTCAGCAAGAATGCCGGACGATAGTTACGAAGATTCCTTCGCTCACCTTTCTTGGGTAGGATGACCATACGAGATGTCCACCACCAGCCTGGGATTTTTCCTTTTGAAGGTAGGCTGCCAATATGGCTTGCGAGAAGTGCATGTAAATTGTGACTTTAAGTTCTGTGATAAGCAGTGATATTATCGGCTCCTGGAGCCACCTATCAAAACAGAAAAAAAGCACAATTCTAACGAGAAAAGGTTCAACTCGATCGCTTTGTTTTTATTTTGCTCTGATAGTAGAAAAAATAGCTAGTCAACCACGAGAGCTAGGAGGTGGAGCAGAATGTAGTGATGATTAGGATAGCTAGTAGTAAATAAATTTTTTACTTAGCAAAATCTTGGGTATAAAACAGCAAAATTCTAGAGTTCTACCCGTTTTTGAAGGATAAGGAAATTAGACACCGAAGCATGTCTTTCTATTCAAGTCATCTTGCGCTTCCTATGTAAGCTTTTTCTGCCAAAGAGCCGCACAGTGAAGTCCTAAAGAGAACGATCTGGGAAGACACGGCGTGGGTTTCTCAGATGTTAAGAAACCATCAAGAAATATCAATAAAGTTGATGACGATAAAGAAAACAATCGTGTAATTGTGAAGGACCTTGCGACTAACTAGTTTAGTTGGTACAACGTGAAGTGTAGCGAGCAATGATGGTACTCTCGCCTTGATCCTGTTCCTCTTTCATCTGGGATCGATCGCTACCTAATTTCAAGCATTTCAGCCTATCACATGTTCAATATTAGATAATCATAGTTACTCAACAAGTCATAACGAAAAGCGAACACTTCTGCTTCTGGTGCTTGGTATTCATAATTGTTTACTGCTTCACCGTGGTTAGAAGGTATTGCTTTCTGTGGAACCTACGTTCTACCTCAAAAGTAGTCTCGAGGTGGTAAATCATTCTCTTTGACATTCACAGAACCCGACAATTACCCATCGCGACGATATGGGGTGGTTGTGGCACGGATATCTCGGAACTCCGAAGAAAAAATCTGGCGGAAACAGCAACAATCTAGTTCGAAGAAAAAACTGTCTGGACTCCCACGGCTCTTGAGCAAGTTTATCCAAGTGTCTAATGTCTAAGGATCTATGTAATTCCAACCAACATGACACCATACTCAGCTTTCATGTGTCCACTAGTACAATGCAGAATGCTTGTCTTCCTGCAGTTTACCACACAAAAATTTTGTTGGCGTCGCCAGACGAACCTTAGACTAGAGCAATTTAACCTTTGTACATGCACAGATGTACATAAGAAAAAAAATAAGCCCATACCGAAGTCAACTCGCAAAGATAATCTAAACAATAAGGATGATTATTGACAGTTTATTGATAAGCGGTTTTGCCATGAATCGCTTGAACGGGTTGAGTGGCAAAGAGTGTAATTAAGGTGACCTCACTTCACACTTCAGGTCGACTTTTGATCGAAGGTCTGAAACGGAGGACGAAGAGTTTTTTATGTGAACATTGTACACCTGGTCTCCTTTACTTGGTAGAAGACGTAGAACAGAAACGGTGACGGTTTTAATGAAGCCGTTTACGATGGTGCGACCAAACTCTGTGCCTCGAGTTTTTTTTTATATTGGTGATATGAAAATGCTAGGTAAGTTGGGCGCCAATATTATCCCAGGTTTTGGAAAAGACGAAACCCGCCGAGAAATTAGCCATTGTAGAATGAATATTGTGTTTACGAGTTTATCTGCTTATCAAGGGCATA